CATAGCTACAAAACGACAGATTTTATCCTGACGCTGAGAAAAATTTCGCGGCCGAAAAAGTTGCAACTTTTTCCCCGACTTGAATGAACTTTAATTTGGACTTGAGCCACGATACTCCGCTATTAAATATTTATCCGGCTTATGTCCTTCGACTTTCACAGATGATATTCAAGGACACACCGTTCGATCGAACGCCGATGACACTTTCCAGGTTGTAATTTTATCTTCATTTGACCTCTTATGCAAGTCGACCATCCGATGTCGGATCGCTAACGGTGCAGTGGAATGAGAAATTATGGAGCGAAGCAGCCCCTCACGCCGTGTAAGGATTTTCTCAACGAGAAAATCAAAGACCCTCGATATTACTGGATAATATTACGTAACACGAGATGATAAAACTTTTTGGCAGAAATTAGGCTGAAATTGGAGACTTTCGACTTTTGGAAATATTCCTGGAGATAAAAAATGCACAAAACAAGACTTGAGCTTGAATGTAAACGGCACCGACGCAACGGTCACGCGGAATATTAATCAAAATATTAATCGCTAATGATTAATGCGGGTTATATGTTAGAAGGAAGGTGACGGATGATGAAATCTTCGTAAATGGAAGATAGATCTTAACGGCGGCGGGTCAGACCGAGTTAGACCAAGTATTTTTGTGCAGTCTGCAGAACGGGGACGTGCCAGACATTATGAATGGGGCGAGAAATACGGAACGCGTTGAAGAGGTCGGGAGCCGATCGTCGCGGAAGAAGAAGCTTCCTTTTACGACCACCCGCCCCCTCATACTCCCGCAAGCAGTTCCCTGCTCCAGCGACCTAGGTCCCTACCCTTGCCTTCTAATGACAACTTCGCTCCACCCACACACACGTCGTCGTCGTCGGTCGTCGTCACGACGCTACGCCGCCGTCTGCCGACTCCCGACGGCGATGACCCACTTCGACGAGGATACCCATCGCCATTCAAGGCCTGTCGATTGATAAGAAAGAAACAGGACGCACGCGGCATCTCTGACCGAATTTCCACGTCCTGCCGTAGCTGAAGCACGGAATTCCGTCCAACCGTACACAAAGGATCGATCTATAACGTGCTCTTCTCTGAATTTCATAAACCATCGTCTCTCGCGGATCAAGCGAGAAACAACAAGTCAATAGCGAGGTCTTAAAGGGATCGCTTCGTTAGCACACGCGGACATAATCCCCGGGAATCTCGATGCGCGAAACGAGCGTTATCCGTGGAAAATCGATTGCCGTGTCGTGGGCTGCGACGGATGAAGGGCGGATCAAGGGATCTCAGATTCTGTTTTGCAAACAGAAAGGCAATAAAGCGTTGTTATCGCGTATATAATCTCCGCAGAAAAGCGGAGCGTCGACGTTCTCCCGCAAAATTTCGCGGGGGGCGTAAGGACCGCGACGATCGAAGCTGGGTGCAGCTGCGGCCGCCGCCGCCGCCGGCCGCCGCGGCAGCAACGGCCGTAACAATCGGCACGCCGGGAACGAATGAAACTACGAGTATACCTCTGCACGAGGTAACGCGATCAATATTTCGTATGCGAGTGCACACTTGCCCCGAAGCACGTGTATGCGGTGGCGTTTGTTTTCTGCTGTGCCCCCGGAGCTTGCGCGTGGTTACTCGCATCGTTGGAGGAATATCCTGCCGTGCGGAACTCTAAAGGCTGCACGGAAACACCGTGTCGGAAAAGCGAATGAAAAAATCCTTCCTTCCCGCGAGACTTCTTGATGAAAAAGCGCAAAGTTAGAGATAGCGGCCGACTCTGCTCCCCGATCCGCTTTTAAATTCAAGTCTTATCGCAAAATATAATTATTTTGTATTCTTCCTAAGTCAATAGTAATATTTGTCCAGCCAGCTTTTCCACGCCACGTGCTTGAAAATCATGATAATTTTAACGCGTTGCCCAGGTATTTGAATAGACGTTTGAATAGGGATGTTAGACGTGGCTCCGAAAGCAAGTGGAAGTTACGACGATATTATTCCGAGGTTGCTATTTATATTATCCCGAGAATGAAGGCTCGTACGGTACGCCTTATCGCCCACGGGGCTGCCATTCAATTAGATTGCGCCGACAGAGATCGGAGCGCAAGGCTAAGCCGTGCCGCCGAGGCTCTCGTCGCGGCGCGGCGACATGAACGGCGGATAGGTGCGCCACGGCACGTGCGCAGGAGCAGAAATCCGCCGGAAATTCGATCGATTCGTTGTGCGCGCGAGAAAGTTGGACGAGCGAGAAGACGACGCGAATGCAATCGCGACGACGACGACGACGGCCAGGCCTCGCCGGCCTCGCCGGCCTCGGGAGGCGCGACCGGAATGATCGAAGCGGCGGGGTAAGAACCCGGGAGGAATCTCTTGACCCCGATCGCACATCCGCGAGGAGAGGTAGACCGCCCGAGGTAAGACCGCCTCGGTGCATTTTCTCGCGCGATCGAAACTTGACCTTGACTATCTTGCTGGCAACTTCCCGGATTTTTATACTTCCTTTATACGCACTCGAGCCTCGATCCCATCGGGATCGACGAATTTGGATCCTTTTGAATAGGGATAATCGGATATCTGCACGTGGACTTGGGATAATCGGGTATCAGAAACGTATGCCGGGGCAATTTGTCGCGCTAATCCGGTAATAGAAACTTGCGCGGGATATAAGCGGTACATAGGACTCGTTTTACCCTCAAACCAAGCGCTGTATCAAGGTCGGAGTATATTAATAAGCATGCACAGGTCTCTCTCCGTGGCATTGTGATACTCGTAGACTAAACACAATGATTTCCCATTGTCCTGCGTTGATCGATCAATTTCTCGCGGAGCTATAAGACAGCTCGCAAAGTATCACTTATTCAGGAAACCTCGCAAGGTCTTTCGGTATACGAGGAGAGAAACACACGGCTTTACATTATTTCGAATTACATACAATCTCGCGATACGTCGTACGAGTCTCAGCTAAAAACTAAAGAATTTCGACCGTACCACGATCGAATTACATACAATTTTGCGATATGTCCTTTGAGTTTCAGCTGAAACGCTAAAACAAAAGTGATGATTCGAAAAAAAATGCTTAAGTACAGATCTCATTATTGACATCCATAAAAAACGTTTGTCGGCGTTGAACTACTTTCTCGTGTATTAGCAATCGTATTAGCAATAAATATTTCAATTTCTAAATCTGTTTCTTTTTTTCTTCGATAACACGTAATTTTAACATGCACTTGCCGCGCATGATCCAACAGATGTATCAACCGTCTAAACGCGCGGCGTCAATCGAATTACGTTGTATCTGTAATCTAATTAATTTTCAATGATTACCAGTGGACGAGGAAAATAGCGCGTAATGGAAGGTCAATCAGGCGGGTTCGTCGATTCGATTTAACGCGGTTAAATTTGAGAATGTTGCGTCTTTTGTTCTCGCCTCGCGAAAGACTTGTATGTGCGAACGTTCGATAATAACGCGACGGCGAAGCGACTACGATATTACATTTTCGTTTCGCGATTTAATTGCTTCGTTATATGGAGTGATACGTGCTCTGTGCGCGTGTACCGTAAACTAAAATACGAATTTCCCCTTTGTTTATTACCTCCGGCAGCGTTACATATTGCAGCCTCCGTATAAGCAAACAATTACAATCATTGACAAATTGCAGCAATCGTACAATACAAAGTCTGATCTATAATTCCGAGTTATTACGGCGATAATATGATCGAAAGTATCAAATTAGTGTATCGCAAGTACGACAGTTAATACGATCTCTTTTTTACCTTCTATTTTTCCTTTTACCTCGAATGTAAAACGAAATTAGCCAATTTTCAGTTATTATCATACCTGGTGATTTCGTATCGCCATGTTGATTCTTATAATTCAGGTAATTTGATAATCCCTCCGTACATTGTATCCTTTAGCAGTTACGACATCGTTTCGTGCAAGTGTATCTTCCGCATTATCAGCGGACTTCATTTAGATATTGATATGTATCGATAATATTACGTAAAAAAAAAAGAAAAATATTCTGTCAATCATTTTTTATGTACACTCTACCGGCAGGAATGCCTGGACATAATACATATACATATACATGTACATATATGTCATATACATATCAAAATGTCCAGGCATTCCTGCCGGTCAGTGTACGAATTAATTAAAAATGGCCGTATTACGACATTCTAAAAAAAAAACATTCTGCAAACAAACTCGACTTATGATAAATTTGAACACAATGGCGCGGGCGTGTGATTTAAATTGTTGAAACAATGGAATGCACACACGGCTTACGGTCTATAAGTGTGACTCCAACAATAAATATGTCGAAATTGAAAACACCATAGGGTCGTGCGTTGAACCGAATAAGCGTCCGTCTCCGGCTTAGGTTCAATGGAGTTAATTACGTATATTAAGTGCTTCCCGTTTATTTAGCCTAAAGTAAATATTTCAAGTGTAGTTTTACAATTTCCATGAAAAATTAAAACCAAAGGTCGACGGAATTATTTCCATCAAGATATATGTTATTTTTTAATTCAATTATGACTTTTTAAAAATTCCACGAAATATTGCGTTTGATATATCAAATTAGAGCTCTCGCGTTTGAAGTTGAAAATATTTTGTTAGAATAATTGCTACGTCCCCATTCGACAGCGTCATCGAGGGAAAGCGTTTGCGTAAAACGAGGGTAGACAAAAAAATTTTCATCTAGCTTTTCCGATCCCAGTTTAACTGTTTACTGAATAAAAATCGAAAAGTTCCACGCATCAAGCCGAGCGTGTGTTCGTATAGATGCGCGTATGCACAGGATACACACAAGGTCGCGGACGCACGTAATTGCGCGCTGCACCGCTTCCGTTAAGAGTCGAAAATTAGCCGGGGGTTTAATCGGCGACTTAACGGCGAAGAGCCACAATCAGTAAGCGAAGGATATGGCATTAGCCCTCTATCGAGCACGCCCACATCCCGTTGTCGCGGCGTTATAAAAACCGTCGGCGACCGGCGCGGTTGGTACATTTTGCCGTAGAAAAGTGACATATCGAGGTGCCAAGCGAGCGATCAAGCAATAACGTTACGACGATGCACGTGTCGGTGATCCTCGGCGTAGTGTTGCTACAGGCGATTTACGTGTCCGCCGGGGTAAGCCCTTCAGCTTGCTTTCGTTTAAACCGCGGGACAGATCATGTCCCGCTCGATAGGGAACAACGCGACGATAAATCGGCAGTGACCCACTGCTATATAACGCATTGTGATGTGCCGATTCGACAAGCGCGCGCTCGCGCGCGCGCGACTTGTCGAGAATAGTGCTAAAGTCCGAGACACGCGAGAATACCTACCCGCTGTCCGACGCGCTCGTGATAAATTCTGATTTTGCGTAGCCACCTGACTGGATACCCCCGGAAATGTTGGAGATGGTTCAAGCTGACAAGAAACGGTGCATGGCCGAACACGGAACGTCTCAAGGTGAGCTCCGCGCGCGATTAAGTAATATAGCGCGATCAACATTTGGCCAATAAAAGTCCTGCGCTAAACTTTAAAGTCCCTTCCCCCCCCCACCCCTCGATATCAAAGTTCTCGTCTCTTCGCAATTATAACGGGTATATTTCAATTCCGCGATACAGCACTGATCGACGAAGTTAACGATGGAAAGCTCATGAATGACCGGAGTATAACGTGCTACATGAACTGCCTCCTCGACGCCTTCAGTTTGGTAATGTTCATCGAAATATCACCCTAGCTTATTACGCGCGACGAGTCAAATGCAAAACTGATATCGTAACGATAACGTTTCGCCGATTAGGTTGACGAAGAAGGTAATTTGGAAGCTGAGATGCTGCTCACCGTTATCCCGGAGCAATTTCAAGAGATAGGTACCAAGATTTTGAACAAATGCGCTAAGCAAGGTACGTTGTAAACAAAATGCATTTTACACGAATTTTCTGCGTATTGTTACTCTATATTATTATTTCATTCAAACTTCTCGTTCTCTGATTCGATCGATGTTTCAGACGGCGCGGATGCGTGCGAAAAGATCTTCGAAGTGGCGAAATGCGTCCAAGGAACAGTACCAGAGGTAAATAAACTTATTTTAATAATTCTTGATGAGATCATAACTAAGAGCTTTATTCTTCAACTCGAAATTATTATTATTATTATTTATCATTATTATTATTATTATTATATTATTATTAATATTGTTATTATTGCTTATTAAAGAATACATTTTTATGCGATTATCCATATTGATCGGTGAAATGTCTTTTACATTCACATTTTCTTCGTTAACTAATACGTTTAAATGTATTGTTACAGCTGTGGTTTATGGTTTAATTCGACGCATGGGAGAAGAATTTGCTCCGTAACGAAGTAAAACAACTTGCTACGTCAAGAAAAATAAAGAACAAAAAAGTAGCCTAGGGATACGAATTACGTAAATTAAAAAAATGTGATTTGTGTAATAACAATAATAGTAAGTAATGATTATGAACACGCCATGTGGCACCTAACATGAATAAAATTTGTAGAAAATGTTGATGTTTGACATTAAAATATTGGCTAAGCTATATAAATATGCATTGAAACTAAATCAGATTCGAGCGTAGTAGCAAATTAAAGGGGAGGGGAGGTGTGAGATATCAATGCATAATGACGAACTATTTATGAGTCCATGTTTAATTAAATAATTTTTTATGATTTTATTCGCCTTTGATTCCAGTACCATTTGACTTTCTCGATGTTCGCGGAATGTCGCGTGTAGCGTGAAGCGGGGTGTGTCAAATTAATTAAAAGAAATTCGTTATAAAGAGTAAATTACATAGCAAAAGTTAATTAGATACGGTAGCTTCGAGAGAAAAGATTTATTAAAGAAAAAAACGTGAAATGTAAAATATCAAAGGGAAATCTAGAGCTGTAGGATTGTATCTCGATTGAAATTGAAAGATCCAATAGAAAAATGAGGTAAGTCCGTAATTTGTAAGTCTATTTCAGAAACGACTTTATACGTAAAGTCGACTTAACAAATTACGAACTTGCGAATTACGTCTGGTATATATTAGAATCCTTCAATTATATACGAGATAAGAATTTCCCTCGTCGAACAACGCCATAATTTCGACAATCATATATTTTATATATACGCAAGTATTTTATATATAATAATCTGCACGGAAAAAAATAATGTTGTATTAACAATATCAATTAACAGCTAATTCTAACTACAAATAATCTTGTTAATTCAGTAACAGTATTAATGAATACGTCATGCTAATGATATTTGTCTCATTAAGGCATTAACAAGATTATGGTCAATTAGACTGTTATTAGCTTAATGTCACGTTAATATAACATCGTTCCTTTCCACGTATACTTCCGAAAACTTTGCATGTAAAATAATTACTTGTTTACATGTGGCGGCACACATAATTGCGGTTTTTCTTCTTGTCGTAAAATTTCCTACACACTTTGTGATTTCACGGTACGGCGACCGGTGTAGCATCAAATGCGGAAAAAATGTTGTGTAATTTCATCATTAGATCGCGTATCTGAAATGACATCGCGTAATTTTCTCAGTCCACCTGGGCACGAGAAAACTTGATCCAGGTAATTTAATTATTGCTTCGGATAATGCACAGCTGCTAAATGCATTAAGTACATTTTGCTGTTAACTTGGAAACAATGTCTCAAGGCTAAATGACATTATTTTGCAAATTTTTCCACGCGATATTTTTTTCAAAACACTTCGCTGGATCTGGCCATATAAATCTTTAATTAGTTTGCTAATAAATCCATTATAAGTTTCCTAAGCTGCTTGAAATTTGACAGTTTAGTTTACATTCGTTAAAACTTTTCCCGCGGGATAAGGTCGTCGCGATTTCGTGACTTTCTACGTCATCCCATAAATCCTTCGGAAGGAGATATTTGCATGAATATAACAATAATTATGCATAAATACAATAACTGACCTTTGTTACATTTAAAAGGTACTGTTACATTTTAAAAAGGTACTTTTTTACATGAAATTTGCGCTGGTTTGCGCAGCTTAATTAAAATATTTTCTGCATTGTTAATCGAATACGCGACGCTGTATACGATGCAGACATGATCCAAAGGTCACAGAGTTCAAAACACGCACGATAAAACCTTCGATCGTTCTTTTTGGCGTAACACGAGCGAAAATATTACGTATCATGTACGTTTATACATCCTGCATCAGTGCGATATGGCATAGGTAGTCGCATCTCGAATTAACCATAAACCGCGCGCGTTGTTATAATTCTAATTATTTCGCCGCTTTAGCTATTTCGCTCGTCGCCGCAGGCACATCAATTTAATTGTTGCTAAAAATAATCGACTACACAAATACGTTTACGTTGGTGTGCTGCCCAATGCAGTATCGGGAACATTTGTAATTCGTGCTATTGCGTAACGTGCCATGCAACTCCATTGCTGTGCGAGGACATTGCAAAAAGAAAAAAAAAGGGGGAAGATCACTACGAAAAGGAAATTGCTACGGTCGACACAACTCCTACTGCGTTCGGTGCAGGGTGCACCGGGTGTGAACGACATTTGCCAATACAAACATTTCCTACTTCATATACGCGCGAACGAAATAAACAGCAAGACATTACACTGTGCTATTCGAAATAAGTTTCGTAATCACACTGGAATCTGGTGCGAAACAAAGCGAATCGCAAGGTGTTCTGCAGTACGGAACGACCCTTGAAAACACGGAGAAAAGTTTTTCATTTTGTTAAAAGAAGCTCTCATTAGAGAACTTTTCGAAATGATGATAGATGAGTCTCAACGCGAAACGCATGACAAAGTTATTGTTATTACTTTATAATAATGTGATTTACATCAATTTCATGTAAAGAAGAATTTTCTTCTAACACAAGTTTTTTTCTTTCTTATTAAAAACATTGCGTTCAGCTAAAATGGAACTCCAAATCGAACTTTGTTGCGCTCTGACAATTTAAACATGACAATTTAAACCTTTGCGTTTCGAGTCTAAATATCACAAAGCCTGGCCAAAAATTGACTCTTTCGATCGCCGAGATCTTTTCGAATAAACCTGAGGCAGCGCGTGCCTGAACCAATAATCTCCGAAGCGAATTGACGCGACTTGGAATAAATTTTTCTCCGTGGAACGAGATGAGGGTGCGTTCGAAAGAGAGAGAGAGATAGAGAGGGTGGGTGCAACGAAACGTTCAGGAGACAACAAGCCGGGGCAACAACAACTGTGGGATGTATTTTCGTTCGGGGAATGAGCGGTACAGACCTTAAGGTCGATCGAGTGGATCGCGCCGGGATGCGGCGAGGAGTGCTCTTTCGCGTCGTTGCCGCAATTGACATTGTTGTTAACGTTCGGCAGCGAGCCACCCGCCCTGAACTGATTTCCCAGGTTAATGTGCAGATGCTTGCCGCTGGACTGCGGTGGACTGGCGCCGGCACTCTTGACGGACAGCGGGGTCTCCGGAACGCCGGATCCCGTGGGACTAGCACCCACCGAGCTGCTCGCCGAGGCCACCTGTACAGGTCCGGTCATTGACAACCATGGCCACCGCAAAAACATTAAACGGTCGTAAGCGATCTTTGCCGCCTTCGGAACAAAAACTCAAACATTTGCGAGACATTACCCGCAGGCTAAACCAGCTGGTTTTCTCCTCCCCGCTGCGAGACTCACGGAGTCAGGGGACTGGGGATTCGTCGTACGTCCTGCCACCCTCGTTACCATTCGGGTGACATAACGGAACGTTAGTTCTAATAGTTCTATGGTCGCGAAAGTGCCCGGGATCTCTTCGGTTTCCTTTTTCCGATCGTAAACGTTGGCTTCGCGGCGCAATATCGGCCCTCCCGTGGACCACGCTCCGATAAACTGGTTCTTATCTCCGTAGCGTATTCCATTCTCCGATTGCCGATTCGAATGCCGGTACTTTAAACAGCAACGCTCCGGGAGCGAACAAATTTCAACCCTATATACATACGGATATTGTAAAATCTAATGGAATTCGGTTTTGTTGATAGACGAGACGTGACAAATGACGATTTAAGAGCTGCCAGGTAACGGGACGACAATTGATACTTGAGAGTCAATCATTTAAGCATTTTTCATCCTAAACCAAGAGTCGGCAAGCTTCTTTCCGTGCCAGGTAGTAAATATTTTAGACTTTGCGGGTCAAGATTAGCATTATGTAGCCACTGCAGGGTGTTTCCTAAGTAAAAAAAATTGAAGGGAATATTCCGTGGCTTATTTTAAGAAGAAAAGGTACTATAAACATGTACCCTAAACTGCTTCGTTTTAAAAGTACAGGGTGTCAAAGACGCACACCTCTGGTGGACCTAAAAATGTTTTTAGGTCCAGTTTTAGAACCAGTACTAAAAAATGAAAATCTTCTTAATATCACATGTAGCCATACCAAATTTGAATAAAATATCTTTAAACGTTTTCCACATTTTCGAAATTTTCATTTTTTTTCTTGACATCTTGTATTTTGAAAACGAAGCAGTTTAGGGCATATGTTTATAGGACCATTTCTTCCTAAAATAAGCCACGGAATATCCCCATCAATCTTTTGTACTTCCTAATTAGAAAACACTCTGTATAACAAGGTAGAAAATCAATTTATTATCAATGAAAGATTCAGGATACAACAGTAATAATTACGCGGGCCGTACAGAAATAAACGGAGCAGTTTGCCGACCCCTGTCCCAAACGATTTGACCGTCTAAAATAAAATACCAAGCAATCTTCTTTTCTGCGGGAGAAACGCGGAGACCCGATCGCGTCTCGTTTTGTTCCAGAGGGCCCTCGCAATCCGAGATGCTCGGATAGCGTCGAACGCGGTCCCGCGAGACGTCCTTATCTTTTCGACGCGATTGGCGAACGCTCCCCGGCGCGACGTAGCACGGCGGTCCGTTTTAACCGCACGGGGGCATGCGGAGGTGCGCTCGAGGACGCTAAATGCATCGACCCAACCTCGCCGACGCTCCCGTTGAAAATACCTCGAGGGCCGCCGGCGCGATGCTATTGAGAGAGCGGAATGTTTACATGCGCATCGAAACGAATCGAACGCGCCGCCGAGCTGCTGCTCGCTCGTCACCCGCGAGACCGCCCGAGGGAGGAAAAAACGTTGACGCTTGGCTCTCGATGTTATTTTTTAGCAAAATACGAAATCCCGCGTGCCACGCATCCGGCGCGGCGGCCACGCCGTTCGAATACTCCGCGAGTACTCCGCGCGGAATTGCCAAACAACAAATTCGGGAACGAATTCGGAGATGCGGAGATACTAGCGGAATCGTTTGTTTTGTTTCGCGTTAAAATTTCGCAACGTGAGTTTCGCGCGGCGTGGTGTGGCGCATCGACCGGCGGCGCGGGATCGATCGCGCTCGCGGCCGCGGGAAATTAATCCGTGACGCGTAATCGCGCCTCGATAAGCGTCTCCGAGAAGCGTCGCGCCGCGCCGCGCGATTCGTATCTCTCGTATGTCTCCGGTGCGGCGTGCGTCTCGCGCGGAAGAAGCGCGGGAGTAAACGTCGCGCTCACGCGCTCGACGAACATCCATGCGACGTATATCGGAGCGCGCGCGGATGTGCGTCGCTCGCGGTGTGTTGCACGTACGTACGTACAACGCGTGCCGCGCGCGCGATGCACTTGCCGCGGCAGTCGACACATACACACACGCTCGCACGCTCGCGGAGCAACCCGGCCGATACACAGGCAAGGCACAGGCAGGGCAGGCAGGCAGGGCAGAGACAGGCAACACGCACGCACGCACGCACGTACACACACACACACACACACACACACACACACACACGGAAACCGACAGCGCGGTAAGCGCATAAAAAGAAACGGGGGAATCGGAGAGAGAACGAGAAAACGAGAACGGCAAGAGAATATGAGGGGCGGAGGAGGGACCGCGGAGGGAACGCGATGGGGGGTCCGCGGGGTCGGGAGGCGAGGGGGGACAGCCGTTGTTTACGTTCTAACATCTGAGAGCCGAGGGAGGTGCACGACGGGTCACGGCGCGATCGCGGCGCGGCACGGCACGGCGAGGCCACCCACGCCGAAAAGGAAACGATAACTGGGATAATTCCTTACTCTGCTCGTAACGTTCGAGACCTCCTTCATGATCGCCTCGAATGCCGCCGAGTCCTGCGCCTCCTTCTGGTTCAGCAGCGCGATCTTTTCACTGAATTTCCGTGGGTTCGCCATGATGGCTCGCGGCACTAGTTTTTCGCGGACACTCGCGGAACCCGGAGCATCCACCACCACCGCCGCCGTCGCCACCACCACCACCACCAACCACCACTACCGCCGCCACCGAGCGACCGCCGACCGACGACCGCCGCCGACCACCAGCCACAGCCACCCTAGTGTCGAAGAACGAACCCTTCGTCCGCCTCCCTCGCGACCGTTCCCTGAGTTTTTTTTACCCCCCCCTGATTTGACGACGCACCAACGCTCGGCACGGAATCTCGCACGGATCGCGATTATCGCGCTGCGTTTACCCGCGTAACCCGATGTGCGCCTTCCGGATGGCACTGGCAAACACTGATACGCAAGATCATGCGGCGCAGCGCGCCACGCGCATTGCGCACTGCGCAGGAGCTGCAACTTCGCGGGCCGACCATGGCCCCGCCGCGCCACCCCGCGGCCGTATCCGCAACGACAAGCTTAGGGACTTTGGCCATTTTTTTCCTAGGGCCGCTGGAAAAGCCGCGAAAGTCACCAAGCGCTTGGGCGCGTTCAGTAATAATCACCAGAGCGCTGCACTAACCAATCACAGACATGGGAATAAGAAAACTGAGACTCCATAGGGCCGGTCTCACAGTCTCCGATTAAACTCACTCTTCGTCTCTTTCTAGGGGGATAGTTAGAAAGAGATGCAGAGTGAGTTTAATCGGAGAATCACGTTAATCGGAGACTGTGAGACCGGCCCATAGTCTTTAACATTAATCGGCCGATTAGTCCATTAAAAATGACCAATTGCATTTGCATCTTTAAGCAGATTGACAATCACGGTTGGTCATTTCCAAATGGACTAATCGGAGATGATCGAAGTAACCCTAAGGGCCATTCTATAATATGTCGCAAACGCGATGGCAACTGTTAGTTAAAAAGTGTTATTTCTGATTTTCAATTGCCAATTGCTGTCGCCAAAAAAGTTAAAATTGACAAGCACAACCGGAAATAAAACTTTTCAAGTAACAGTTGCCATCATTTGCGATGTATTGTAGAACGGCCCTTAGAATTCACAATTTCTACAATATATATATTGTAAATATATTGTACATCGATAAAAATACATTTACAATATATTTTTATCGCATTTTGCATACAAAAAGAATTTCGTGCAGACCAAGTATAGAAACTACTGCCTATACCTTAAAATTCCACGTGTCGATCGTGAATGAAAAACGGCAGGTAAATAATCGAAAACAGCGCACAATGTAGTAAATAATAAAGACTTATTGATTTTATTAATTTTGACGATTTTCTTTTGCTTGATTTTTCTCGCGTCTCTTGCGCAAAATGTTGATTTTTCTCCGAATCACTTGTAATTTATATTTGTCAACTGGGCTCGACAAGCCACTGGTCCGAATTCCATAATGCGGATTTATTGATCTTCTTTCCTTTTGCAGGACCTTCCTCCTCAACTTAGCGCAAGAATCGCATCTTCTTCTTGAACATAGCAGAGAACATTCGCCGTGATGCCACTGATCAACATAGTTTTTGAATGTATCCTCTGCTTGCATAAAACGGACTTTCACATCGCCCATGCCACAACACAGGCTCTTGTATTGGAAGTTGATCAAAATACTTGGGAGCATTGTTATGTTGTCCAATTTTTGCACAAGATTCGTTGCATCTGTGTTAACGAGGTTTCCATATATGTAATAACGTAAGTTTTTTTGCTCATCGAGGGTTACACATCTTTGGGTTATCGGAATGTCGGTTTTCTGTCTCTTCAACGTTATTGTATACAAAAATACCAGGTACTGATTTGATTGGGACCTGGGTAACTGACCCACAATCCACGGCATAGGTAGCGTCACGGAATAGCCTCCGCTGTTGTCGGGATGTGCACTTGATTTATCTGCAATAATACAATCGGTCGCGTCACACATTTTTAGCAAGGATAATGCGGCGATGAAGACGAGGATGGCGCGGGGACTACAAGGTAAGTTTCATCTGTAGTTCTCAAGTATTCTAGTATATGTCAAGGTGCATAGCTTTTAATAGCAGTAGCCATGGAAAATTCACAGTGCTAAATATGCTACGTATTAACTACAAAAATGTTTCAAGGTACGTATAGGTACCTAACGTCAAGGTACTTTTTTTTTCTTATTCATAAAACTTACTTTCGGTGATAGTGACCGATGAAATGTTGTAAGTTGTGCCACAAGTTGTTACCAGAACTGGAGTTTCTGCAGCAATTGGCTCATTTGTGATATTCGTAAATGCAAGATCGGTTGCTGTTTCTATAATAAAATTACAATATGAAAATGTTGATTTATTGGAAATAAAGCACTATGCAATAGCAGTAGCCATGGAAAATTCACACAGTGCTAAATATGCTATGTGGCGTTCATGTAAAAGGCCTTAGTCATACGTAGTTGCGACACAACCAGCTCCATCTTATGTAGACCATATGGGCTCTCCCCATGGTCCCTTTTTTTGAATTAAAAAAAATGTGCTATGTATTGACTAAAAAAATGTTTCAAGGTACATATTGTCTTTTTTTTCTTATTCATAAAACTTACTTTCGGTGATAGTAACCGATGAAATGTTGAAAGTTGTGTCACAAGTTGCCGGGACTGGAGTTTCTGCAGCAATTGGCTCATTTGTGATATTTGTAAATGCAAGATCGGTTGCTTCTTCTATAATAAAATTACAATATAAAAATGTTGATTTATTGAAAATAAAGTACTATGCAATATGCACCTTTAGCAACATCATTTGGCAGGTCCGGCAGAATAAACTCAGTTTCTGGCTCGACTTTCAAGATCGGCGATTCATTGATTGTAACAGTAACATCGAACGAATTGTGTGTTGGAGATGCTGCAATTTCATTCTCTAAATAAGTATCGACGATGTCTAACTCTTCTTTTTGTATTGATTTGAAAATTTGCCCATTGCTTTCAAATATAGTTGGAACGGCTGATTCGTCTAGACGAGGACGTTTATATATAACCTTCAACAGCAAACCAAAAATAAAACGTACAGCATTGAGTTTTGTGAGCAATAAATTACAAAAAAATGTAAAAATATTTTTTTATTTTATTGATAAGTACCATATGATAATGACATGAATACGACAAACTGCCGAATGAATTAAGGAAACTGGAACTTACCTCTGCAATAACTTTCCCGTTCGCGTCATGCTTGATGTACTTTCGGAAAATATATTTTTCTTCAAAATGTTTCTCACAAACCAAATGCGATGGAATCAATTTCTTGCCAGGAATCGCTGCTTGCCATTTTTTGAGCCGTTCGCTATTCGTTGGCACTCTAAAAAAAGAGCTTTTTATTTTTAGGCTTTTGTAGCCTGTTTTGCAATTAGGTACAGCGCAGTATTTTGACGATTTTGACATGACTTCAAACCTGGCAGAACTATGAAGAACAGAGACAAGGAGGAAATGGCATGGAAAAATTGTCAAAACATGCGACCGAATGCCGAGTCAAGTAGTAGTATACTAATGCTCCGCAAGGTTGCGCTTTCGTCTCACGGGACTCATACGTATGTACATACATACATACATACATACACGGTACGCCACTCACGGTATACTCACGCATACAGTACACGTCCCCAGCCTGCAATCTCTCCTCCCGTGCTCTCCTCTTCATCAACCCTTGGGTATCTTTAAGGGGATGCTAAAGTGACTCAATTACCGACAATTACAGTCAAAGGTCTAATTTTGAAACGGCTTTATAGATCGCAAAATCCTTTTACAGGAGTAAAGTATAGGTACTAATGAAGGGTGGGAATGTAAAATAATTAGTAATAATTGAAAAAAATTAAAAATGTTGTTACCTCATTTTCTAATATAAACAGTTGTATAAGTAATATGTACGAAATGAAATGTTCCCACCCTTCAGAAGACGTGCACAAACAATAACGTACCTTTGAAATTGAGATTGAAAGCCTGGAATAAAAATGAGAGCTTCGAAGAAATTATAACCTATAACCATGTCTATCCTTGTCTATCATCATTGTCTATACAAGGACAGATATAGAATTCGGTCGGTAATACAAACGTCTTTAGGATCCCCTTAAGGTGATCCTAAAGCTGTCTGTAATACCTACACTCGTTTTTAACAATATTTGCTTCGTATAAAAATTCTACAGCTTGATGTTACAAAATGAAGGTGCAGGTCCATTCAGTAGACATCAAGGAATATCATACCGTTTGTAGAATTAGGCTGAGACTCCAAACAAAAAAGTTAAACGAAAAAGTACGATTACGTGAACGTTACGTACATTATTGTACTTTTCGTTTAACTTTTTTGTTTGGAGTCTCAGCCTAATTCTACAAACGGTATGATATTCCTTGATGTCTACTGAATGGACCTGCACCCTCATTTTGTAACATCAAGTTGTAGAATTTTTATACGAAGCAAATATTGTTAAAAACGAGTGTAGGTATTACAAACAGCTTTAGGATCACCTTAAAGAGTTCCTGTAATGCCTGTATCAGACTACGGATTTGGATTGAGATTGGATTAAAATTTGACCAATGAGAGCACAGTTTACTAAACTTGAGATCAGTTTTCTCTGTTCTGATTGATTAAATTTCAATCCAATCTCAATCCCAATCCAGAGTCTGATACGGACTTTTAAGTAGAGTTGTGCCAATACCGTAGCTTTGTCTCACTCCCACTAACGTCTTGTCGATAAATGGCGGACATGTTATAGCTTTATCTCACTCCCACTTATAGCTTTGTCTCACTTCTACTAAAGAACCGGAAGCGCTGATCGGGAAATGGCGGAGCCAATCAGCGAAAAGAACACCATTAAAAGGGCTCAGGGAGAATAATAAGGAATAAAGGCCATCGCACACAAAATGCATAGCTTAGCATAAGCATAGCATAAGATCGCTAAACCAATGAGCATCCAGCATAAAGTCGCCATATTGATTTACATAAGATGCTCATTGGTCCAGCGGTCTTATGCTACGCTTATGCTAAGCTATGCATTTTATGTGCGATGGCCTTAAGATAAAGGAATAAAGGCCATCGCACACAAAATTGATTGGTCTATTTCCTTATGCACATGTGTATGGACCAATCAATTTTCTTATGCTTACACATTATGCGTTGTGCAGAAGTGTGTGTCCGGGCCCTTAAGCGGGGAGCACACACTTCTGCACAACGCATAATGCGTAAGCATAAGAAAATTGATTGGCCTATACACATGTACATAAGAAAATAGACCAATCAATTTTCTTATGCTTACGCATTATGCGTTGTGCAGAAGTGTGTGCTCCCCGCTTTATACTTACGTATTATGCATTATGCAAAAGTATGTGTTCCCCGCTTTAAAGAGTGTAGAAACCAATCGTAATAAAGAAATCTCGTTGAGCTGCTTTTTCCTAAGTTTCCGTTGAACGCAGCCAATCGGCTGGCGAATGCGACTTGAATTCATCGGAAAAAAATCACCTCTCGTTTCACCATGCATGCATGAGTGTGTACGGAAAAAAACACCCACGAAGAAAATAAAATTTTATCGTGTATAAAATTAGATATAATTAGATGTAATTTTTCATGAAATATTGTTATATTCCTGATAAACAAATGTTAGAAAAATAAAATTGTAATAAATGCATTTTTTCCTAAAATATGCGTTTATTCATTAGTTTCCTTGTATCATATCGAGGAAAATCTGGTTTCTGGAAAATACGTGCAGTGATGAGTAACGCAGTTTGACAGCAGGGAAATCGAAACGTCGATTGTCCTTTAATCGCCTTAATTGTACAGCAATAAATATAATTTATATTAAGAATGGCAAAAATCAACGAAGACGTGTATCTAGAACATATCCCGTCAACAGTATACAACGAATTGATTTACGAGTTGAACAAGAACTCTAGCTGGCAGGTACTCGCTTGTCACGTAGCCAAACAACTTGGATATCATTGGTAAGAAGAGACGATTCGGATAACCGATCAAAATCAATCGAGCGTCTGCCCTTGTAGATCTTTATATGTGTGTCACATGTAGGAAGTCGTGGCTACAGTCATTAGAACGGAATACCAGTGCTACGAAAACACCAGCGGACAATCTACTGTTTGAGCTCAATGTAAAAATGTGCACAGTTGGAATACTATGCACGTTGCTCAGAGACTGCGAACTTGGCGATGCTTTGTCAGTTTTACATTATCCAGGTACATGTGTCTATCTCTTTACTCTAGTCGAATTAATAGAACTGTAGACAAAACACTTCACACGACAATCTGATTTTAAATGAAATTGTTATTAGAGGAATCAGTAATTGTTAAACATCCTGCCGATGATATGGGACGTGACACTTTAGAAATATCCCTTGGCCAGCATCTTCGTCTTTCTTGCAAAGCTACAGGTATACCATCGCCGAGTTACCAATGGTGTTGCAATAACATTGAGCTGCACGAACAGCAAAGTTGCGAACTTGACATCGTTATAAATAGGTAAGAATATTGTCTAAATTTGTGGTGTGGCAAATCAATTGATTATTACACATAATTTCTCATAGCCACGATCAAGCTGGAGAGTATAACTGCAAAATCTCACAAGTCACCGATGATGAAGGAGCAGTATTGCTAACGAGATCAGTTTTTGTAAATATATCTCACGTGCCTGTGGTTATACAGCAGCAACCGCCTGCTTTCTTGGAGCTTAAGGAAGATGAAGATTTTTTAATTAAATGTGTAGCGCATGGTCATCCTGAACCACGTTATCAGTGGTTCAGAGATAATACAAGACTAGAAGGAGAAACATCTAATGTATTGCACGTAAGTATACGTAATGTAATATTATATGTAATGTAATAAGTATATGTAATGTTAACATTAGATAAGGTAAAATTTTGTAACAAAAAAAGAAATAATATTCTAGATAAAACGGTTTGGCTCTAAGGATGAAGGAAAATATTATTGCTTCATAAGCAATGATGTGAATGAGGTAATCACTCAAGAAAGTCGCGTAATGGTAAGAATTACATTTTGTAATGCATTATTTTATGAAAGAATTCTGAGTAAAGAGATTAAATTAAAATTTTGTTATAAAACTGTTATGATAATACACATATTCATACAGTTGATATTCGTATTGATGTAGCTCGATCTTCCGCGTGAAAAGGCAATTGCAAAAATAGCTTTGGTCATTGCAAATTGCGATTATGAAAATCACATGTGTCTAGAGACACCCAAAAACGATGCTGCACAAATTGGTGAACTATTAAAGGGGATGGATTTTGAAGTAATGTCCTTTGTAAACTTGTCACTTGAACAGATGAAGAATGCTATAAAGACATTTGGGGAATTTTTAATGGAAGGAGTTTATGGTAAGTTATTATAAATACACTATATATATATATATATATATATATATATATATATATATATATATATATATATATATACATGGAAATATAGTAATCACTTATTAAAATTTATCTCAATGTAGGATTGTTCTACTATGCTGGGCATGGTTTTAAAATGCAAGAAAGTTATATGCTTGCTGTCGACGCGCCAGAATCTTATTTAAGAAAAGACGCGATTTGCGAGAGCGAATTGCTAGCTATATCATTAAAAAATGAACCTGCTCTTTTAGTAACGATACTGGACATGTGTCAAACTGTACCACCAAAGTAAGGAATTTTATAATTATCTATTCTTATATAATTATTGAGAATTTTTGAGGATATAAAAATGGATAATATGATCAAATATTCAAATATATAATTTTTTTTCCAGAGAATGTAATCCTGATATTCATAATGAAATACCTAAAGTCAAAGAATATAAGAGTAAGAAACATCTACGAAATTTAGTACAAGCATATTCCACATCTAGCCATCGTCCTAGTTATGAAAGAGCAAAAAACAAGTATGGATTCTATACAATGCATCTGAGTGAATATATCAGTAAAAATATCCCAGTCACCAAAGTATTTGAAGAAGTAGGAAAATGTAAGACACGAAAGAATTTATAATTCCAATATAATTCCAATATTTCCTAATTGGTAATTAATTAATTTGTGTTTGCAGCATTAGATAAATTGTTAAAGGGAAAAGAACGTAACCAAATTCCATGGTTTGCCTTTAACATTACTAAACCTTTTCGTCTCACTGATGCAATTTGCAAAAGTAATTAGATAAAAATCTTACGTTTTAATTTATACATTAAATATGTTTAATGTTATATGACATTTGGAGGGGTAAGAACCACAGTGGTGTAAGTCAAATTTTTAAAAATATTTTCTCTTATGCATAGATGCAATTTATATATTGTACAGATTGCATCTATGCATACGAGAAAATATTTAAAAAAATTTGACACACCACTGTGGTTTTTACCCCTCCATTTATATTATTACAGGAAATCTATCGCCCGCGTTGAAGTGTTTAAATAAATTAATAGCTTTTCCAAGTAAATCTTTTGAAATAAACCTCAATCAAGCTGGTATTTCTGCCAAAGTTAATATCTCGTTATTTATGGAGCCTTATTTAAATATAATTAAGATTTCAGTGTGTAATTTAGACGATTTGGAAGTAAATTTTTTTAACTCTGTGTATACAAAACAGAATAAGTTGTTCCAAACTGCAAACTCCAAAGCATGTTGGATACATAATCCACAAATCTATCAGGTACTTTAAACGCGTAAATTTCATCGTTTGCATGCGGTAAATATGTTCATGTGTAAATGTATTCATATTACAAAATATTTTATTTTACAGGGATTGTTGATTGTATCCGTTAACAAAAACGGAGCGCTTATTGACGGAATAAAGTTGGACATTAAAAATTATATTCCATTAGTATTAAAAAAGATCAGCTAACATGTACAGAATATACAAACTTAATTGATATACTTCAATTGTGAATAAAATATGATTTATATTATATATACATATATGAAATATAATATAATGTAAATTTGTAAATAACCTTGTATCGCACTGATATCTTTTTATTAAAAAAATATAAAGAAATGTTACATCTAAGAGGGCTAGCACTTATTTTCTACAGTGACAACAAATGAATAAACGGATTAACGCGAATTTTATTTCAAACTGTTCTGCAAATGTATCTACTACTTTATGTATTAATACTGTAGTGATTTACAAAAGTTGCAATCCATGGACCACCAATATTATTTACATATTTACGGGTAAATGTATAATTACACATTACCAAGTCCTCTAATTTTAAGATATCTGTCATTGTCTGTAGCCTCTGTTGTTTCTTGGCTTTTTCTGGGATGTAGTGACAGATCGTTTTAATTTCAATGGAATGCTCCTCATCTGTAAATAAGAGATACGTATATATATCTATAGGGTACTGGTATCAGCTTAATAATTTTCTTACCTGTCGTAACTGCAATATCACCCAAGACATTAAACACAATATCTTCCTCGTTTACCGCAATTAACCATCTTTGCCCAGAGCTAAGAGTCTCGATCTTTGTCCTTAAAACTTCTATCATATCTTCTGCCACAAGACCTTCTAAGGAATCGTAGTCTTCATTCGCTAAAGCCTTGGATATTACTGTTATTGCCTAGAAACGTAAGAATGCACTTATCAGTACCCAAACATATATATATATATATATATATTTCTAATCAGTCATAGAAAGTCTCATACATATTTTGTTCCGTTGAGGGTCTCGGATAGAAGAAACTCTTTATCTATGCGCGGAATCTGAAAGAAAGACAGGAAGAAAAAGCGAAACGGGAGTATAAGAGACGGATTGAACATCTCGGCGCCGTCCACGAGCGCGGGCAGGGAGACCCGCGGCTCGGAATCCGACTCGGTGCTGTAAACTCTGCAGGCGGCGATACTCGGGGACGAGCACGAGGCGGACAGCAAATTCGATCCGTCGCCCTGCCGCGCGATCTTCGTTCGCATTTTGTTTCTATAAGTGACACATGCGGCGATTCGTCGCAGATTGCACGGCACGCTCCTTGCCGGGACCAACATCGTCACTCGCATGCGATAACGGAAAAAATCTTCTACGGGCAACAACAAAATCACGGAGCGCGCGATGTTTTTCTAACCTATCTTCCGAAACACCGAAGACTGTTCGCGTCCGCGATAAATTTGCGGAGATTAATTTGAAATTCTCTACGACGCATCGCTACCGATGACGTTAAAACGCACAAATAAACTTTGCAACGTTTTTCGCAAAATATTGTTTATTGTTCAGCGACCGTTTAATTTAAAGATCTTTGTAATTGGCGCCAGTCGCTGATTGCGCAAAAAAAAGTTACTATAAACCTCACGTTCGTTTTTAGATAAAAAAATTGGCTTGGATATTGTCAGTAAATAAAATTAAGATTATTGATAAGAAGAAGATTAGGGAACAATATTTTTCTTGAAAGCATTATTTTTTAATAGTTGAAAATTCCCTAACGCGCGCGTCACAGTTGCGCTTTAATTCTATGCGTGTGAACATAACCAAAAAAGTTGCACGTTTTGCATATATTGGTATTTTAAAAATAACGCAAGAAAATCGTGTTTAAGGGTAAAAATAATTTTGGTGCAGTTCGAGGAAGTAGACATGAGATTTACGTCCAGCTTGTTAAGACGCATGGCAGAATGGTCGAAGAAATACTCAAATTTACCGGACAGCTACATAGAACGAGCTATGGCACAGGTCTGAACAATTGTCAGATGTAAAAAAAAAAAACAATGCTATGTTGGGCTCGCAATATTTAAAAGCGACAACAATTAACTTAATCGGCGATTCATTCTACTGACAGTTTTTTATCTTGTTATTTATTAATTTTAACATTTATAATTTATTGTCATAACAAGGTTTACTGGAAGACACCTAACAAGCCGAATTATTTACCACGCACGATTGAAAGAAAACGATTTCGTTTCTCTATACATCGTCCGTGGACTCATGAATTTCGTCGTCAGAATGCACCTGGGGTATACCATAAGTTTGTTCACGTGGAACCTATTAAGGATTGGAGCTTCTTCCGGGGTGATAGAGTACGTTATTTTGCTGGTAGAATTTTTATAAAAAATAAAGGAGATGATGTCGGTAATATTATTTTAATATATAATTATTACATTATTTGTACAGATTTATATATTTTTTGTCTAGGTAGAGGTTTTAGTAGGAAAAGATAAAGGAAAGCAAGGGATTGTAAAAGAGATTTATCAAGAAAGGAATTGGATAATTGTCGAAGGACTTAACACAAAGCTGATAACCACTATGAAGAGTAAAAGTTTTCCTGGTTTATACTTGCAGCAGGAACAGCCGCTATTGGTGACCTCGCAGGTACAGTTGGTCGACCCTTCAGATATGTGAGTATCTCTTTAAAGAATTCATTTTACGAAGATGAACATATAGTATCGATATTTCATAGCACAGTGCAACTTGATTGCAGGCAAGGAACTCCAGTAGAATGGCGATACACGGAGGATGGCCAGCGTGTACGCGTATCCGTGAGAACTGGTAGACTAATTCCCGTTCCTGTCTCGAGTAAAGAGACGATAGATTACAGGATTCCTCGGTTATATCTAGAGCAGGCAAAAGATACAACTAAAGCTGACGTAGAAAAAATAACTTTTGCAGTATGTAAAATATAAAATATCTTGAATTTATTCGCGTTTTTTTTCATCTGTAGAATTGGTTGTACTGAAAAGATTATATTATTATATATATATAGTTTATTATATATATATATATATATATATATATATATATATATATATATATATATATAATAAACGAAAATTCACTGCAACGTTTAGAGCGACATAAGCAAATTTTGCGTAGAAATGTCTGAAATAAAATATTAGATTCATCTTTTTTGTTTGCAGCCGGCATTGAAAACCTTCGAAATGGATATCATGGATGAAATGGGTATCAAGGAAGATCGTGTTCCAAAGAAATTTTATTGGTATTAATCATTGTTATATACAATTCGCTGTTATTTTCACAATGTACAATTATAGTATTTAATAAATATATTAAGCGAACAAAGGGATGAAAACATATTTTGTAATATAACTCAAGAAACCTATCTCGCAATCTTTTTAAATGAAAAAAGTGCGGAAATTACATTTTCCAATATGAATTATAACTTCCTTTTTTTATATTGAGATTCTTTACCAAAAGCTATATTAAAGTGTCCCTATTTGCAACGCTTTGTATAGGAAATACGCAATAAAAAGAGCATTTGTAACATTAAACAATAAAAAAACGAACAATTCAGTGCTTTATATATATATAACGAATTTACATTGGATTAAAATACGTAGTAATATTGATTAGTATCTCAATCAATAGTTGTTTGTTTTATACTAAATCGTGTCATTCTCACATATATCACAGCACAAAATTTTAATAAATGCAAATCCCGAAACGCTTCGTATTACATTTAAATATATATTCCGATATATTCTTTTATATTAATAATCTGTTATGTATGACACTTTTTCCCTTTTAACTCGGCACATTTGTAATTCCGATTGCGATTGAGATTCAACTATAACGATCGATCGGTCCGCGTTTCAATGTCAATTAAAAAATTTATGGCCATATGAACAGCAAGAAGAGGAGAAGACGAAACGGTATTTCGAGGATTGAAATACGAAAGGCGATCGTTTCGATTTAACATTCGAACATCTCAATTCTCAGAATTCAAATCAAATAGAACGGATCGGTGAATTACAAAATGTAGATTTCGATAGATCAATATATGGATCCGTCTATGGGCATTGGGCACACTTCACGCCGGACGGCCGGACTGCGGCGATTTAGGCTGCGGTCCACTTGACGCTACAAATGCTTCGAAGCATTCCTCTTCTCTTTTCTTTCAATGAAGAAAGAAGGAGAAGAAGAACACTCCAAAGTATTTGTAGCGTCAAATGGACCGCAGCCTTAACGGTCAGTTTGATGAAGAGATGAGCCACCGCCGCGCGGATTAAGCGCGCGTTTACGCGAAGTGCCGTTTCTCCTCGTGCCTCGTGCTTCCGGGTGTTCTTCGTCGAGATCGGTGAGTCGAACTTTATAGCGCTGCATTCTTAATAAGGATACAACAGGTGAGGATGATCGGGAAATAGAAGCGCGCGCCCGGCGATGAGAATCGTCTTTAACGTCAGCCGTTCGCCATCTTCCTTTTCCCTCGTCTGAAATAATTACCTTTCGTTTCGTCCCGTTATATCCTTATTACACCTGCGAAACGACTAATCGCGCAAAGCGTCGCGCCTCGCGATAATACAATTTCTGATAATATCTCGACATACGCACGCCGCGAGCGGTATTATTTTATTCACGTATGCGGCGATGCGATATCTCCGCGTGATTGAGCATATTATGATATTATATATTATGCCGCTACCGATGCATTGGCTTTATCGAGATGATCAGGATTAGCATGATCTCGTGAATGCTTTCACGGAAGCTATTGAAAAAATCGTGCGAGATTTAATTGGCGCGATTTGATTGTAGATTTCATTATAGCGGTTGGCGCTTTCTTCATGCCGCGAGCAAATTTAAAATTATTCGTTATTACGAATAGCAAGATGGCGTCAAAATGGCCTTTTTTTAAGTATTTTAATATAGGAAAGTTTCTCTAGTAAGAATTTGAACTCCAACAATTTAGACAATTTTGGATTGTTTTTTGTTTTATTCATATTCCGTATTATAATGGAAAATCCATTGTTACCTATATATATTTTTTATTTCAATATTTCTTGTCAATATGATCACTTTTGTACTGTGAACCTTGTTTTTTGAAGTTCCCCATAAGTAAAAATCAAGAGGCGTTAAATCTGGAGATCTCAGAAGTCAGAGGACCGTTTTTACCTATTTCATGTTCCGCTTCAATATTTGTTTATAACTTTGTAATAAAGTATTTCTAGCCAAACTTCATATATAACATTTTTTCTTATTTTTACTTGTAGAATATGCTTCCGCAGTTTGTCAGGTAAGTCCCGGGCTACCTTGTATATATACATATACATACTGTATTATACATATGGACTACTATTAAATTAAGTTCTTTTTTTTTTTTATTAATGAACTACATCAGGGGCCGGATCAATTATGTATCTTAAAACGAAGTAAAAATTACAAATCGTGAACAGATTTACTCTAGTAAATTTTCTCGCTTTTGTAATTTTCACCTGGTTTCAAGATACACACATAATCGACTCCCAGTTTAACTAAACTGATTTAAACATTTTTGAAAAGCGCACCATAGTTAGCTTGAAAGTGATCCAAATTCTTACTTGAGAAACTCGATCTACTTTTTAGTATAAACCTATTGCGCACGTGATTTTATTGCGTTAAGAGACTTCGATCAATCTCCGATTGAGATGATTAACGATTATCTCATCAAGCAGTACTATTTTGTTAACGTGGATGGAATAGTCGATTTTTTGTTGTTTAATACATGGGAAGAAAAATTCGATTAAGAACAACAATTTATATTGTTATAAATGTTGAAACTGCAAGCGATTCTGCTAATTGAGTTAATCGCTAATTAAGTTAATTAAAGTTTAATTGAAGTCATTTTAAAAGTTAGAAAACTGAAACGATCTCTCGCGTTACTTTCTCTCACGTTGCCACAACGCCACAACACATCGGCTCTGACCACCGTTTCGTACAAAAATATATTCTACCGTTTGTATCCTAACGTAACAGGAACCACTATAGTAAGGCGACGGGGTGGCTACGGTAAAATCGATTAGAAATAGGCGATCTACAATCAGGCTCATATTATTAACTATCTACTCAGCTATTTTGCTTGTCGCAAATTCTTAATTCGAACTATTACTGCACGGCCGGCACTATGGAATTAATGTCGTACGAGCGATTCGTATCAACGAGACGCATCGCCTTAATTAAATGATTAATTGACATGCCTATACATACTTCATTCCAGTAACATTACGATTCGCTTGCGTATGGCATACATCGAAATTCCCATATATATATACTTCGTTGTCAAAACACATATTGCTATATTAAGATGCTGTATCGCTACTTCTCGTTGAAATCCACAAAACGAAAATATCATTCCACGTTTAAATCATTGCTGATTATGCTGATTATGATATTGCACTTTGCATTGTTGATTTAGATTGGAAATTTGCAGCAGTTAAGTCTCTTTTCGCGATACTGATTCCCTATTGCGGCGAAACTATAGAGACCATTGCATTGCACCGCAAATTTGCATTGTATATTTAAAAAGTACATTTACTGTACTATTTTATTGCTATTTGCATGCACAAGACGTATGTATGTTTAATCTACGAGACGTCTGATCAGAAAGCAAAATAAATTAGCAAATCACACAGACTTGCTATTTTTCCTTTTTTTTTTTTTGTTAATTAACAAATTGTCCATTAAATTTATAACAGATGATTATGTAATAATTAGAACAGTAAATGTATAATCGATTCATTTAAACGCTTCTAGAAATAGTTCATTTCTTTTTATAAATCGGCGAGATTGAGCTTTCGATTTTTGACTAAACAGCGATATTATTATTTAAATTTACAAACACGATAGAAAAAGCCTCTCGCGTAATATCGATTCACATCTAAAATCTCTCGAACAAAACAAATCAATAACATACCTTATAAACCATTATGCTTACGTAACAAATATCGATCGAAAAATTATCCAGTCGCTTGCTTGGCACATTTCTACGTTCCGTTTGCATCATGCGATCGGGATTTCGTATTCCTTCACGAGGATTTGGTGGCAGGATGCCTGACTAGGAGATTCACTTCACCGTCGTGTAGCTTCTTCATTAAAGACCACGCTTCTATCCTCGACATTCGCGTAACGTCGTTACCGTTTACTTCGAGCAGTTGGTCTCCGGCTTTTAAAGCACCCGTTTTCTCGGCAGCACCTCCTGTTGTAAAAGATAAAATTGAGATAGCATATTATATAATCCTATTATCTTATTTTTATCAAACCAAATATGAAACTTTGCTTTGCCAGTAAATTAATAATAGTGATTTTTTATACGACCCAGCTGGCCACCTTTATTTAATACAGTTGTCACGACGTTTCGCCCATTAATTTTGGCCCTTTTCAAATGTAAACCTAAGTCATGAAATCAGTAAAAAAAAACCTTTATGAAAGAGCCAAAATCAATAGTTAAAACGTCGCGACAACTGTATTAAATAAAAGTGGCCAATTGGGTCGAATAAACAATAATTCTTATTTTTATCATTTTAATGTAACGATCATTATACACGTGCAAAGGACTACATTACTCTTTACGTAATATTACGATTGCAAATGTACTATACACGAAGATCTGCTATAAAATTTACCGGTGAATATCTTCTTGATGATTAGAGGTCTATCCCCGAGGGGACTATCCCTGCCGCCTTCCAGGCTGAATCCCAGGCCAGCTCCGTCCTTGTAAACCGCCACGGTCGACGGTGGTCCCCACGCTGTGTCCTCCACGTTTCCATTCGTCTCTAACCCTGTGCGAATCCGAGTTCTCTTATTTACACCGATTCCGTTATCGTCAAAACGGATCGTGAGAGTTCTCTCACGTGAGAAACGCATATCCTTATTTTTACCTTCGACGATGGTTTCGACACTCGCGGTCCGCGACCTCAGTTTACCGCCCTCCTCCATTCTGACCCTCGACACGACCAGCACGACCTCCGATCTCGGCTGCTTCAGTACCGCCATGCTCTCCCGGTGCGTGAGGCCTCGCGTGCTCCGACCGTTTATGCTGAGAATCCTATCGCTCCGCTGCACCCGGCCGTCTTTGTCCGCGATGGAGTGTGTCAGCACTCGGTGAACCGTGATCTCCTTCACCTCGCAGTCCGCGCCGCCGGCCAAGGTGATGCCAACGCTGCCGGTCGGATTCTCCTTGTGGAGAAGAACGACTATGACGTCGTGCGCTCCGCGTGCCTCCTCCAAGCTCGCCTCCTCGACGAGCTGCGCCAGTTCTTGTTGCGAGATCAGACTGGTGCTGCTAGCCAGCGAACTGATACTGCCGAATTGCTCGCCGTAGCATCTGTCGGTGTCCATTTCCGTCCCGATGTTCTCGTCCACGCTGCTGTCCAGACTTGGAAATCGATTGTGAGTGCTGCTGGCGCTCTGCTGTAGCTGGCCGTGCGCGGGACTCGTGTCAATTTTCTCCAGAGCTTTCTTCATGTCCGTCACGCTGGCGCTGCGTCGATTTAGGCCACGGGATGTCGGAATCTTCGACACCGTCGTGCTTTTTATTCTTTCGACGCTTTCCGACGTTTCGTCACCGCTGTCGGCGGCTTTGGGTCTCCCTAAGGTGGGTATTTTGGAGACGAAGGGTTTGTCTTCCGACCAGGACTCGTTCGAAGTAGTGGAGCCTCTTCTACCGTATCGATTTTCCTTTGAGATTTCCCAAGCAGATTTCACCGGCGAGTTTGTCATCGCACCGTTCTCGATTTTCGATTCCGTATTTTGCGCACGGAGCAATTTTAAATCCTGCTTAGCGCCAAGTATATCCTCCAGGCTCATTTGGCTCTTCGATCTACCAAAAGTCCCCTCGTCGACATGTATGGCTGATCTGGAGCGGCTCTTAGTCGTTAAGATCGTCAGGAGATCGTTTTGGTCTTCCATGCTTTTTCTGGGAGTTAAACTCGCTCTACTTTGCGGTTTCGACATTTCCACCGCGGCCACCTTCGTATCGCTCACCGCAGTTCTGGTCTTCGAAGACAAAGCGTTGTTGGATGCTTTAATAACAGGTTCGTTAAATACGGACCCACGATTATTTCTCGTTTCCAAATTTTGAGTCGCGACGGATGGACTCTTGTCGTATTTGCTGTTCGAGGTTTCTTCCATCGATCGAGCCAAAGTCTTCACTTCCGCTCGAACCCACATTTTGAGATCGTTCGACGGCTCCAACAATTCGGATTTAGGCGGTCTAACAGCCGGCGGCGGGAAACTCATTTTAGGCGGCAATTTAGGTTTCTCCGCCTTCTTCAAAAACGATCTTTCATCCTCCGCAAAGGGATCCGTAACTTCTATGTAGGCGATCTTGACCTCTTGTTTCCTCGCGGGATCATTCCCTGAGTTGTTGCTCATCTGATGAATAACCCCACCGTTCTCGACGGCTCCTTTCGCGGCATCTTCGTCGTCCGAGAACTTTCGCTGGATTAGCGGCGATCCGTTCAGATCCCTGCCACTTCGGCATCTGGCACTCGCTAAGATGTTCTTCCGATTTATCGCCTCCACGCTTTGCGGCTTCAGTACTCTTCGGGATAGGGACTCGGCGCTGGCTTGAGATCCGGACGTGAGTGTCGAGGACGTGCTGCAATTTGTATCAGTGCTGTTCGACCGCCTCAGTTGTCGCTGAGGGATCTGCGAGCTCCTCGACACGAGCTCGTTCGGCTGTGGCGAGCGCGGATTCGAGCCGCTGCTGCTGGAAGACGATCTCTCGACCAGGTAGGTCCGTTCACCGAGAACACCTATCCTGGAGGCAAATTGATCTTTGTCGGATGCAACAATTGGGTCTCTGATATCCCGCGCGACTGCGATTCTACTCAAACCGTCCGCGATCAAGGGTCGACGTTGGCAGTTCAGTTCCGCGGAGACGTAAGATCTCTCCGATGAGACGGTGGATCTTTCCGATGGTACCGGAGACATCGGCGGACTGAAGCCGCGAGATATGCTGCTCTGAGAGCTGCTCACGGCCGAATCGTTATCGGAGTCATCGTAATCCAAGCGAGCTTTCCTCTGCATCGTCCTCGGCCTAGTACGCGTGCCATCCGGCGAACTAGTTGTCGACGCAAACTCGAAGCTGTAATCGCTTCTCGTCGGGCTGCAAATACTCTCCAGGCTTTTCGGCGGCTCCGAAAACGTGGGCATCGCGGTTGATTGTGAACTTTTCATCGGACTGCTGCCGTTCATCGCGGAGCTCGTTGTCACTGAAGTGCCATAAACCGTGAGAGACTTTCTCTTGAAAGCCGGGGAGTACTTGGAGTGGATCTGAGGCGCCGGCATCTTGAAGGACGTTGTCGCTTTCAAGGGCTGACTCCCCGTGCTGGCGTTGCTGGTTAAGGAACTTTGAGACCCCCACTTGTCCTGAATGTTTGCCTTTGGTATCTGGAAAAGAAAAACGTATATTTAACGTAGCATTATTTTGAACATTTCTACATGCGTAAAATATAGAAAAATGTTATTCGTAAATAGACATCGAATTTTTTATATGCAGATTGGTGGAAAAAAGCAATTAATAACTAAGATTACGTTATTTATATAATGTTCAACATATTTATACCTAACATATGTTGTATACATATGTTGGATATTATAAATAACATGAGCTGAGTTGCTTCTTTCCGCCAATCTGTATATAAAAAATCTGATGTCTATTCATAAAAATTGATTTTTCAAAATAATAGCTGATAAATTTTGCAAAAATTTGGTGAATTGCATTATATTTCAAATCTTACCTGATGCAATAATATCGAATCTCGTGATTTGATTTCCGGTAGATCGACGATAGGTTGCTCAATCGGCACGGTATCTTTTTCCGGTATAACCAGACCACGTAGCTTCGATATCGATCTTCGTCTCTGTTCGATCAGCTGATTTAAGCTGTTTTTTCTGACATCTTCTCCGGGTCGTCTAAACGTGGACGCCAAGGAATTCGTCCTTGAGATTTGTGAGTTACTGATGGAATCGGTTGTCAGAGAATCTTGATTTTGCGTGAAGGGTGTCGGGCCTGAGAAGCTGGTAGCTCGCGCTAATGAAGGCGTGCTCGTTGTCTTGACCGAGTTGCTAGAATTGCTACAAGAACCCACAGTTTTACTCGAATACACGGCGTTCTGCAAATTGCCGCTTTCAGCGGTGCTTGCGCAATAATTCTTCGTCGTTGTACTTAAGAAATTCTGCTTGTCGTACGAGGACGGACTTGGCAGTGATGTGGTTTTCGGCGGAACGATTGGTAGCGTCTTTGGGACTCGCGTAGTTTGCGCGATTGAACTCAACAGAGCAGGCTGAATAGTCTGAGACAAACTGGGCGACCTATGGCTATATTTCTTCGCGGAATCATCACCCGTCATAGTTTTGGCCGAATCGGTCAGATCGAAAGAACTCTGCGTCCTGTCGGGGAAGAAAGACGGTCGGTCCTTCTGTCCGTTGCTCTTGTCATTCCAAACATCTTCGGAGGACTTGTACTTGGAGAGGCGTTGTTTGCTGTTGCTCGTGGCTGCTGTCGCTGTCACGGTATTAGGAAATAGGGGCGCGTCAAGGCTACTCTGCGACGAGAACATGGCAATTTTGTCTCGAACAGATCGCTCAGACTTGTCGTCTTGTCGCCAGAGATCGCCGTTCAAGGAAAACTTTCTCTGCGGCGATTCTGTCGTAGGAACGTTTCTCGCGTGCAAAACTGTTTGCTCGATTTTTGGCGGACCTGTGAATAATGCAATGTACTTTTACAAGAGGTATAACGATGTAAGAAACGCGGAGATGATGTAAAAATGCAATGTGTTCGAGATGATTTCAAAGGAAGAAGAAATCAATCTTCTCGGAAGTATTGAATTAAATAATTTAATAATATATTTTTGGTATGTTAACGTTGCTTCTTGGAGAAAAAGGACGGAAGAGAGGATTAATTCGAAGCTAGGTAAGTAATGAGTACCTGTCAATGGTAGAGGCGGTGGCATATCAACAGGCGTGTCCTTTTCCACGTGGCTTGGCACTTGTTCGATCGTCGTTACGTCCTTCTGATAATATCCGGCGATCTCCATTTTCTTCTCGCTCGTCATTAAATTGCTGTTAGTCGTCTGACAAGAATAAAGAGAATTCGCCGTTGAGACGACGGGAGCGTTTTTCTTCGCGATATCTTCCGAGATATGATAAGATGATTTTTTCTCTTCGTTAGTAACCTCGGTGGACTTCACGTCTTGACATATATTATCCATATTGGCCGACGTAGCCTTGCCCATCTCGGACCGGACGCTCTCCATATTTGCCAGAGCGGCTTTGTTTATATCCTGCCTCACGTTTTCAGCGCCTGCGAACGTCATCTTGCTATCGGGTAGAATAATGCTCCTCGAACCGACAACGTTGCTGTCGTTCGCGAGCATTTTAAGAGTCTCGCCGGCACGGAACGGCTCGTTCTCGTTGCACAATCCACCGCCATTCGTGGTTATCGTCGCTGTCCTTGTCGCGGCGATATATCTGTACGGTGGCTGGTTGCTACTGTTGCTGAATTCTTGGTACGCCGCTGGAAATTCGTCCCCGTCCGGGGGCAGGCGCTGGCCGCCTCCGCAGTTCTCCATCTTACCATTTACCGTGTCTGCAACAGTATTCCCGAATACATCCTCGATATCGATATAAAAGTTTGAATTTTGAGATTATAATATGGCAATGAAATATTTTAATGTTCATTAAAGCTATACAAAATTTGTAGATGTGAAATTTGGACGATAAAAATTTGTTAAAGTATAATACAACATAATACGATTTTTTAATGTAATTTCTTCCTAAATGTGATAAAAGAAATAAGATAATAGATTGTATGATGCTATTTCAATTACATTTTAACAAGCTATTGTATAGAATATCGGATCTGTTTCATTTTCTGATAAGGTAGCAAATTCAAGGTGAGGCGGAAATTTGAATAGCACTATCCTCGTTGCTTATAGTCAAAGAGATTTGAAAATATTTTTTATTCTTTGTACAGCATTTCTGAAGTTATATATGTATATTTATGACGAAAAATGTCTCTCCATTAATAGTTCTTCTGTACACCTTGTAAAATTCATTTTAGCATTCTTTTGTTTTAATGTAATATGTACTGTTAAGTATTATGTTATGCTTTAAGAATTCTTGCGGAAAGGAAGTGTATTGCATCGGTAAAAATATTTGCACCATTAAATAGCGAACCAGCAAACCACTCGAATGATTCATCGCGCATATATCAACACATTGTACATCGCATAGTGAACGTATTATCGTTTAAAAAATGACATCATCTCTTCGATTTTCCATGCTCTTCGTCTGACGAATCAAGCGAGCGCACAATTTTGCGATCTTTCACTTTTGTCAATGAATTCAATGTACCCTTGAAAGAGAGTTCAGTCTCTATCGAATTTTAAGGCTTTGCTTTTCATTCATAAAATGCGACTTTTTAAGAAAAAAAACTTTATCTCCCATATTAATCTCGTTTTTAAGATTTATTCCGAATTTTTGTTTTACTTTAAATATTTTTATTTCATTCTGAACAATTTATTATTTTACTTTAATTTTTATTTTATTCCGGATTTTTATTTCTAATTTCTTACCGCACTTTATATAAGATTTACTCTGAATTTTTTGTCGCTCAATTTGAAGGTGCGGATCACTTGGCTTATATAGATTTGCATGATTTCAAGGATTTTCACATTCTAAAGCAAATCTATTGACAAAACATTTGCATGTATGTACGTTATCTAGTCTAAGCAGGAATATTTAAATCAAGCAAGTTTACCGTGCATGACTCTTTGCAATGGATATCGAAATGTTAAGTTTTATTTCGGACTCTCCTTATCTATCTACGAGCTTTGAAATATGCACAAGCATAGAATTCTTAAAATATTCAGCCGCTCGTAAATTGCATATCATCGGTGCATATATGCTGTCGCATTGCCGAACGCTTACGTATGCCGTCATACCGCGAAACACTGACTAACTTTAATTCACAGTTAATAAAGCGCGCCGCGCTAAACTACTGATTAACATTCCTGGCGCAGTGCAGTACGACGTAACTAATCGTCGATCGTATGCACGCGCAACAGATGCAACTTTCGCGGTGCTTGATGGTTTTCGATGCACCATCCAGACGATCGCACCATATTTGTACCGGTGATCAGGAGACACCGCGCGTGTCGTCGTGTGCGTAAATGTGCGTTCAAGTATGCGTGAATTTTGCGTATGTGTATGCATGAGTTTAATCCACTTGTTATCCACTCTGTATACAATTGGAGAGTTTATTTTTGGCAATTAACTACAAAAACCGATCTACACACAATATTCAATAATAAAAGTTCTCAATAAGTGATGCAAATATATGACAATAAATATAAATTTACATTTAAAAAACGGAGTAATATTCGATTTGACTAAATGAAGAGATGAATAATTCTTTGAAATAAAGAAATTGCTTTTTGTGCTGTCTCGAAATAATAATGTAGTAGAAAAGAAAACATCACAAGTGTCGGGCGTCGTAACATATTTCCATCTTGGCAAATATTTGATTACGAACTTGTGGTGAAGTTATAATTATCATATCATTATAACCAATCAGTTAAACAAATTGTTAAAAGTAAATTAAGATCTTATCTGTTATTCTTTAAACTAGCTATTATTGTACAATAGATTAGTGAGAAAGCTAACAAAACTAGACAAATATATATATGAAGGCTTGAGGCTGAATAACGTGCGCTCGGCATTCACTGATGCATTAAGTTGAAAGTAACCGATCACACACACAAAAACAGACAGCATACCGGATAATATACCTGATTAGACACGGCGCGATTGCAACCAGCCAGAATTCGCGAGGACCAGTCCTGTTTTACAACCACTTTGCGAGCATTAAGTTTGACAGGCAATTAATTTCAATCATCGAAGAGTACATAACTCGACTCGCGGTTATGGCAAACTTTCACGTGGAAGAAGTGCATCGCGCGCGTTTTGCGCGAGTTTCTGAGCTCCGGTCGGCGCGGAACGATTCCCCGAAGAACGTTGACGTGTATCGTCAAGATGAAGGAGAAAACAACGGGGCCGAAGTTCTCGTTCGTACTGGCAAGAGGCTGTCGTAAGACTGGGCGACATTGCTCGTCGAGGCCAGCTTCCGCGGTTTGCGCCGACATCACAAGCGCTTTCGTGGCACCGAGAGAAGGGATAGTCTCGCTAGTTTTCAGTGTACCACCGCGGCGGCCACGCTTTTAACTTCTGCTGCTCGGAATTACGTTCTTTGCAGGCATTATACCGTGAGCGAAAAAATCCGCGTGTATTCGCGCGTATCACTTCGTTCTTCACCCTCATTACCCGCGGCCCGTGTTTCCCTCTTCAACTTCTTCTTTGATCCGCATTGGATCGCTGGATGCCATCCAAGCGCGCGTCGCTTCTCATTACATATACACTTCACATTCGCGGATATTCGAGATTTATTTCTAATCCATCGAGATGACAGCGAAACAGCAACACATACGTATAAATTAGCTGCACGAGACACGACAGACTCTCTTGGAATGTGTAGATTTCCGTGTCTCGTGTACTAGTTCGCGGGATGTCGCCCGAACGCCAGTTATACGAGTCGATTAATCTTGCGGAATGTGTCAACGAAACGAAACCGTTCGCTCGCCAGAGAAAAGTCGTAGGACGCGTACCGGAAGAATCTATGCTGAGCTGGAATACCGCTATGCAATATAATCGATTTCGAGATGAGACGACGATTTTGTCATGCCACTGAGTTACGTCGCTTAGTAATTCCGTGGGCGATTAAATGATTCATCAATAGAGAATGTAACAACATTCTCTAGTTATTTGCACATAAAAATTAGACGTGTATTTAACAACATAAGCGTGAAATTTATAAATCTGAAACGCGATGCAAATATCGAAAAATTTGTACATCTATCCTATCTAATGTTTTTTTCTATCCTGCAAATTGCAATTATAACTGCAATACACTGCAAATCCAAATGTGTTACACGCATAAACGTCTAAAAATGACACATTAGACAGAAGCTCTTTTTGCGTGTTTCTCTATGTGTTAAATTACGTCATTTAACACGTTTAATCGTATTAAAATAAAAGTTAATATGTTCGTGTTAAAACGGCCAGAAATATGTAAGAAGAGTTTCGGCTAAAATAACACATTTGGATTTGCAGTGTAGGAATTATAATTGCAAGAATTCTTGACGTAGAAATAATATTGATCAATGAATATTAAGAATGCAATTGTTTTACTTATCGCGACTAAAATTATTCTTATTATGCATGCTCATATGTATTCTGATTCCGTGCAGGTATATGATAATAGTGGTTATAACGTACGTAAATTGCGGTTATAAATTACATCATCGCGCATATACTTTCTGAAAGCGAGAATTATGTCTGTCGCAATGTGCCGCGAGCGGCTTTCTTCGCCGGAATACTGTTTTGGAAAAGAAAAGAGGCAGGCCGCAAAATCAATGCCGTCACTAAAAGCCCACTTGTCCTTGGCACCGAGATTCGAATCGTTCGCGTTGCGTCAGTGTACGGAGGTGTGGAACCTTGTAACACACGATTAATAATTGTTATATTTATCTCCTCTAATAATAGTCTCCCTTTTTTTGTCTCATCGGCCGATATGGTGATCATGTGACATTCGCGTCGTTAAACATCCTAAATGATATATCGTCCAATGTGAAGCAATGTATTTAGCAATAAATCCGCGTGTTACAGCGGCTAAATCATTTATTTTCAGATGCCGATTAAAGCGCGCGACGTTCTTTGTGTTCGACGTTCGTTGATTCTCTAAAGAAACATACACATATGTTAGAATAGTGAACAGCACTGTATCGTACCGTTGCACACATTTTACCAAATTTTATGTATCTTCCAACATACTTTATATATCTTCCAGCATACTTCGTCTCGTCATGTACGTAACTTATTGCTTTCGGAAAAGTCAGCCTCTTTTTCGTAGCTCAGATTGGGTAAAGCAACTTAATACACCGAACATTAAAGAATTTATCTCGAGTTGCGGACATTTAGAAACGATTTCGTATTCCTTCCTACTTACATTTCGTCACGTAATACTTGTCAGATCGTTATCTTGTACTGGGGGGAAATTCACAGCCGGCATTGGTGTACAAAATTTCGGCAG